CTTGCATGAAGTTTCATTCTTGAACTGTGTGGAGTTAAATTATGAGTTTGAAGTCAAATTTCTTTTCATGTGTCTAGCTGATGAATAGAAAGAAATTATGAAAAAGGGATAAGCTGATAGATGCAAAAGGATACAATTTTTATCATAAACCTATGGCTGCATTTCATGCTTCAGAATTTAAAACTAAAATAGTTCCATCAGAAAGTTTCTCAGACACATTAGATACAAAAAGCTACAAGTTTCAGCCATTTTCTTAATGAGTAAAATCAGAGTGAACCCAACAATTGGTCAGATTTAACTCACACTACATTTCATTAAATAATGTACTACGTAATAAGTAATAACTAACTGACTAAAATCATTTATAAAAAATGGCTAAAATCATAATAGCCCTCTTTTTGTTGTGTTTGGGGAAGGAAAAGCAAGCTTGAGAGAGCCATGAGCCCACACCAACCTATTCTTAACTAAAAGCTAACAAATATTACGGCTAGATATTATCCTTTTTTATTTTCATTCTTTTTAATAAGAAAAATAAGGACCGGGTAGAAATTATTACAATAAATGATTAAAAGCAGCAAGCAAACATGATGGGTTCATTGAGAAATTAGGAACAACAAGATAAAACACAAGTAATAAACAGAGACACCACTTGGGTGTGTTGGGCGCCACAATTAAAGAAGAAAGTGGAGATAAATACATATTTTATCCTCCAAAAGAATGTCCTGTAATTTCAGACCTAATGTAAAATGGGAAGTGAAGGCTTTCAATAAATTTGTTCAAAAGAGTGCTGGAGATCGAACTACAATCAAGTAACAAGAGAAAACGTACCTGCACGCTGAAGAAAAGCTTGACCTGACTCTGTATCGCCGGCCTAGGTCGATCGATTCACAACTAGGTGAGGAGCTGTTCGTCGATTCAAAACGTTGTCCCTATTCACAGGTGGGTGAGGAGCTGTTCGCCGGCCTAAGCTAGGTCGATCGATTTTTTGGGTGTCGTGGGTAGAAGAAGACTATGCGACGGTTTGTGATTAGATCTCCTGCTAAGAGCATCCACAATGCTGGAGCTTCTAGTCCAAATAAAGTGTGCCACATGTCAATTAAACAAAAGGCCTTTCTAGCTAAATTGTACATAGTGAAGTGACGGTACATTGAAACAAATAAAAAGCTTCCAATGCATATACGTAGTCCGTCTGTACAATTCAAATGTCCAGGCGGAATTATTTTTTATTTTAATTAAAATGATAATATCTATCTACATATTAAATTAACCATTTCCCACATCTATACTATACAATATTTGAAGTCGGTGCATCGTGTATTCATGTTAAAGTACGTCATACGTGAATCCTCTTTTAATTTAAATACATAATGCACACATACCAGCTGATATATTATACATATACCAAGTACCCTGTATATAATTATTACCGGAGTATGTTATGTTTTGGCAATTTGGCCCATTACGAAACGACTACGACATATATACATGTGCTTGCTGGAACATGCAGGATATGTACGTACATGAATGTGTTGTATATTTGTATGAGAGTTCTGATATCTTGTTATAGTGAATTAAGGAAAGTTCAAATTTCTGCAATTTATATATATTTATATAGATATAAATATATAAATATATAAATATACTCTGTATAAAGTAACGTAGTTGATCATACTGTGATTTTGGGACGTAGAGTGGTGGGCGAGGGGTTTCCGCTGAAGTTTTGGCTACTTTTTCGTTTTCGTACCGTTTTTTTATTAAAATGTGTTGAGTCAGCAAGTTCATCACACTTTCCACACTTGAAAACCCTCCTTCACGGTGTCCAGTTATTTCTTTGCCAACTCAGCAAAGACTACACCCATTGGAGCAAATAAAAGATGCACAAAGTCTAATTGTATGAGGTGGCATATTAAATCTGCACTAGACCGCTATGCATTGCGGATGCTCTAACCAAGCCTAAAATGTTTTCAATTTGTACCCCAATTTGTACCACAATCTGTACACCGTCTGTGTACAGAAACACTTGGACAGAAAATTTTGTCCTCTTTCAAACGAATTGTCTGTAAACACAGACAATTTAGGGGTGGGTAAAAAATGGGGTACATTTTGGGGTATCTATGAAATTTTTGTTTCAATTTTTGGGTGAAAAACAAAGGCGGCTTAAAATTGTTTAGTTTAAGGACGGGCACATAAGAACAGACGTTTTAGGCTAAAATAAAAACTCACCCATGCACTCCCTGGCGAGATTAAAAAATAATCTGTATGATACCCATACGTTATAAAAATGGGTTTTTTACAAAAATATTACTAAAATAAATTTATTTACAAAAATATGATTATTAGTTACTATAATGTAGTGTGATAGTAACTTAAACTTAAAACTGAACATAAGTTACTATGATTTTATTACTGCATCCTTTATATACATATAAAACGCAGTTATCTTCCAAAAATCGTTTGACTGCCTTCCCGATTGCATTTTTTGCTGAAATTTGGTATGGATGTAATAGATTTGATGAATAACATGCTCAAAAAATTTCATCGAAAAATTCCACCGGGAAGGCCCTCAAAACGTGGAGGCCGCACGGCGGCTCCGGTAAGGTATACCTTACCGGAAGTTTTTCCTATATATATATATATATTAAAACGGAATAGTGGATCAAAAATTTGAGCGGGAAGTGGGAATGTAATGTGATGTGAACCAATTGTCGTGCTACGGTGCTGCCAGCCTCCTGCCCCTAAAACAAAGAGGCTTTTTGAATTCCCAAAACTAAAGCTATTAATAATACTTCGTATATTGGTGCAATGCTCAAAGAAACTTTTGAGATTCCCATTTATTTTCCCCATGCCGGAAACTACTATATATATAGAGAAGATAACGCAAAAGTTCTCATAAGAGACTAGAAAATGTGTCAATCAATACGATAATTGATTGCAGAACGATCAAATTTTTTATGGTATTTATTTAAGACTTCACTTTTTAATTATTCATAATACAAATTGGTCTTGAGTTATTATTTCGATCATGCATGTACTTATACGTTTTAAATTTGATCTTGAGTGAATATACGTTAATTAGCCCCTATTTTAGTTTATTGCATTTTATAAAAACAATTAACAAATACTAACTTAAGCTTCTTTTTGTGAAAAGGGAAACTCAATCTCCGACATCATCTGAGAGATGAATTATATTGTTGAGCTCAAACCACGTTATTCCTTTCGTCATGAGCGCTGAAAACTCGAGCACTGATGGCTGATCCAGAATAAAGTAAATTAGCTACGAAGTACGAGTATTTTTCAATGAGACATGTATATTTTTAGAATATTGATTGCAGTCCGTCATGATGAAATAATGCAACTTGGAAAATTAAATTCTCTCAATTGTTATGAGCAGAGCAGATAATGGAGGCCAGTCAAAATCATTTAAATTTATTCATATACTCCGTATTTTTTTTCACTTCCCTCACTTAAAAGTTAAAACTACTACGTATATACTATCGTAAAAGGTGTCTTCCTACATTTGTTATTCTATCTCGCTACATACAGTATCGTCCCACAAGGCCACAAATCTAGAAACATACACCGTAATACAATAGAAGAAATGCGGAAAGGAATACTTGGCTTCAAAAGTCGCCAATTAACTATAAACTTAAGGTAATGTTTCAATTCATATTCTTTGAAGTTTAAGTGTATCGAATTACGAATATTTTCAGTTTAGAAATGTTTTTTTTAGCATTACAAAAGAGAAAATTACTTATATAGGAGCAAACTCTTACTGATTTGCTTAATAGGAGTACTTCCGTTGGCTATGTTTAATAGGAGTGTTTTATGGCTGGCTTGACAAAAATACCCCTGCTAAATAAGTTGCCTCGATTCCCACAGGCGCGCTTAACATTTATCGAATCAAATAGTTTATAGCACATTCAGCCGCTAGATGCATTGCTGCGCACTCCTTCCGCCCCTCGCCCCTATTCTTACGGCCGCTGCCCTCGCCGCTACTCCTGCAGCCGCCGCGGCCCTCGCCAGAATGGTCTGCCGCCGCGGCCCTCACCGGCACGGTGGCACCGCCAGTCGCCGCCACTGACAATTCAACCATCTATCGCCACAGACAATTCAACCATCTATCACCTCCGAGAGTGGCTAGATAAATCTTCCATTAAGTTGGAATGTTTTTTGTTATTGAAGTTTATTATAGCTAATATTTACTACTTCCATTATTGAAGTTGACACATGATGTAATATTAATTTATTTGATTGTTCATAGCTCATTACGTAGGAAGGTCCCTTGCATGGGACATGCACACATGCTCTTCTCTCTCCTATTATAGATGGACTCCATATGTATGTATTATATAAGTTGGCCGAACCCGCTGCATATTATTATCAAGGAGAATTCCTCCAGTATAGTTTCTAAGCTTCTTTTGCTTATGAATAATATTCTTCCATCTTAATTTTATCATGGTATCAGAGCCGAAATCCTGAAAACAAGTTCTTCTTTCACAAACATTCCCATATTTTTTTTCTCTTTGTAACCCATGGCGCCGGTTGATGTTGAAACCAAGGCTATTGGCAGTGAGTCTGGCGATTTAGTCATAGACTCAATGTCACCTTATTTTATTCAGTCCGGGGATAAACCCGGAGATGTGTATGTCACAACGATTCTTCGCGACGGAAACTATGGTGATTGGCTCGATGAGATGAGCAACGCCCTTTATGCCAAAAATAAAATTGGCTTCGTGAATGGTGATCTTCCGATGCCGAAGGCCGATTCACCATATTTCCCATATTGGCAACGAGCAAATGCCATGGTCAAAGCTTGGTTGAATAGCAGCATGGAGGTTGATCTTAGACAAAGTGTAAAGTTCAAAACTGCTCGTGAGATTTGGACTGATTTACAAGAAAGATTTGAAAAGGAGAGTGCTCCACGGGCATATGAACTTCGATGTTCTCTTAGCACCATCAAACAAGATGGCCAATCAATTTCCGCTTATTTTAGCCGGTTGCGCCGAGTATGGGATGAGATGGTGTCCATCAACACTCAACCTAATTGTACTTGCGGTAAATGTTCCTGCAATATTTCCAAGCAGATAACTGAATCTCGTGATAGAGATCGTCTTTATGATTTTCTGATGGGTCTAGATGACATCTATGAGCATCTCAAAAATCAAATTCTGGCCACAAGACCGATCCCAGCACTCACCTCTGCTTATCATCTGATTTCAGAGAGTGAGTTACATCGGTCGATTTCATCAATCCGGAAACCAAATATGGATGGTGCTGCATTTTACACGCAAACCAAGAAGGAAATTTCTCATATTAGACGTCCAAAAGAAGGCCGATCTTGCTCGCACTGTGGAAAAACAAATCACTCTTATGATATGTGTTTTGAGCGCATTGGCTACCCATCCCACTGGAATATTAAAACTATGGAAAACAAAGTGGGTGGAGGAACCCATGCTCATCATCATGATTCACGTAACATACGTGATATGGGAGGCAGAGAGAAACATCTACAGGGAAATAACAATTATCGCAGGCACCCTCCAAGTGTGGCACACGTGGATAGTAAAAATAAAATTGATGTTGGAGTCTCTGATGAGCAATTGCAAAAAATAGCCCAAATTTTGCAGACTCAGCTACTGGACAAATCACGTGCATCCACTTCTGAGAGTCAGATAAATATGACAGGTATTTCAATCAGGGGTCGTTCTTGGATCATTGATTCCGGAGCAAGTGAACATATCATTTGTAATAATGATGGTCTCATTAACATCCAACCCCATGTTTCAACACCAACGGTAAAAATTCCTAACGGTGACTCAGCTTCTGTTCAAGCTATCGGTAGCTTATGCCTATTCAATGGCCTCCGACTACAAAGAGTCCTATATATTCCAGATTTCAAGTGCAATTTACTCTCAGTCAACCGTCTTATAAATGATTGTAACTGCACACTTACATTTTTTAATGATTTGTGTATTTTACAGGACTTACCCTCGAGGAAGCTGATTGGGGTGGGCAAATGTCGTGATGGTCTCTATTATTTAGAGTCACCAGAAAATAAGGGAGTGGCAATGTCAGTTTCTATTAATCTTGATTTGTGGCATCAGCGGCTGGGACATGCTTCAGATCAAAGGTTACATAATATTGCTAGTCTCCAAGGGTCAAAGCGATTTAACAACTTCTGTGACTCCTGCATACGAGCAAAGCAGACTCGTCTACCTTTTCCAGTCAGTATCATTAAGACAACTTGTTGTTTCGAATTAATACATTGTGATATTTGGGGTGGCTATAAGTGTGATTCTATTACCGGGGCACGTTATTTCTTGACCATAGTTGATGATTTCACAAGAGCTGTTTGGGTCTATTTAATAAAAAATAAATCTGAGGTTCCCCAAGTACTGATTCAGTTTTTTAAAATGGTTGATACCCAATTTGAAAAACGAATTAAACGAATACGAGCAGATAATGGTGTTGAATTTCAAACCAATGCTTTACTCGACTTTTACGGCCAAAATGGAATATTATTGGAAACATCGTGTACCGACACACCTCAACAAAATGGCGTTGTTGAACGCAAACACAGACACATATTAGAAGTCGCCAGGGCGCTCCGCTTCCAATCAGGTTTACCTATCAATTTTTGGGGAGAATGCATTCTTACTGCCGTCTATATTATAAATAGACTTCCCTCACCCATTATTTCCAATAAAAGTCCTTATGAAATGTTATTGGGAAAATTACCAAATTACGACCATTTACGGGTTTTTGGGTGCTTAGTGTATGCACACAATAACAAACGGAAGGATAAATTCAGTGAACGGGGGAGCCCTTGCATATTTCTTGGCTATCCGAATGGACAAAAGGCTTATCGAGTATTTGATTTGGAAAAACAAATTATTTATAGTTCACGGGACGTTACATTTTTTGAAGCCATTTTCCCGTTCAAAATACAACTCGACCCGGAGCTTAATTTGGGAGCCATGACCGATTATGTTTATCGTCAAATCGTACATCCTAATTTAGACAAACAAAATCAATCAAGCCCCTACTCATTCTGTCCAGCTTCAAGTCGATACATCTCCCGTGAACTTTCTCCACTTGCGGATAGTGGGTCCCCTGCGAATAGCAGCCGTATAAACAATGAACAAGAGGTGCATGGGAGTATAAATGATAAGGGTGACTCATATGGACAGCCAGAGATGCCAAATAATGCCACGGAAGGAGACACCATGCTCCTGGAGCATGTCACATCTCTTACTCATCCACCACATGGTCTTGAGCATTCACATTTGGACTCTTCCCTTCCATCAACTCAGCGCCATAATGTGTTAACGGGTGAAATGCCTCATCACGATGATTTGAACGGTAACAAGCCGATTCACGCCATGCCGTCTGACCCACTTGCTACTCGTAATCTGGCTGAATCTACAATATCTCAAAATGAGACAAAACGCAGTACAAGACTCCGGCAGCAATCAACACGTCTGACAAATTATGAAACTGACCTGCCGCCCTCCCTTACTCAATCACGATCCACTGCCAATCATGCTTCCTCTACGGTATATCCTATTTCACATTTCATTAATTATGATAAGTTTTCTCCGACTCACAAAGCTTACTTAGCTGCCATCACAACTCATGATGAGCCTAAGCATTTCTCCCATGCAGTACAGGATCCATTATGGCGAGAAGCCATGCAAAGGGAAATTGATGCTCTTGAAGCAAATAATACTTGGACACTTGTTCACTTACCCCTTGGAAAAAAGGTGGTTGATTCTAAATGGGTTTATAAAATCAAATATAAACCTAATGGGGATGTGGAACGCTACAAGGCTAGACTTGTTGCTAAAGGTTATACCCAGGTTGAAGGTGTTGACTTCCACGAAACTTTTGCACCAGTTGCCAAACTTGTTACAGTACGGTGTTTGCTAGCCATTGCTGCCAAACGCGATTGGATTGTCCACCAATTAGACGTAAATAATGCCTTCCTACATGGTGATCTTTCTGAGGATGTCTATATGCGTTTACCACAAGGGTTCATCAAGAAAGGTGATACGCGTGTTTGTAAGCTACGCAAATCACTATATGGTCTCAAACAGGCCTCTCGTAATTGGTATCACAAATTCACCGAGGCATTAATCAGTATTAATTTTCGTCCATCACGGGCAGATCACTCCCTTTTTATTTTTCAAAAGGGACCTATTAATACGTTTGCTCTAATATATGTGGACGATGTGATTTTAGCAGGGGATGATCTTGATCACATCAATACTGTCAAGGAATTTTTAAACACCAAGTTTAGTATAAAAGACTTGGGAAAATTAAAATATTTTCTTGGCATTGAAGTTGCTCGTTCTTCAGAAGGCTTTGTACTGAGTCAGCGCAAATACACTCTTGATATTTTAGCTGAAAGTGGCACTCTCGCCAGCAGGCCTAGCCTGTTTCCAATGGAGCAGAATTTAAAACTTCTTCCTGACGATGGTAGTCCACTGGTGGACGCTGCTTCCTATCGCCGCTTAATCGGGCGTTTATTATATCTCACTATCACACGTCCTGACATAGTCTACTCAGTGAGCCAGCTCAGCCAATTTCTCAGTGCTCCACGACAGACTCATCTTGATGCTTCTATTCGTGTTCTTCGTTATTTAAAGCAGACGCCAGGCCAAGGCATTTATCTCTCATCTGATAATGACTTAACACTGACAGGTTTTTGTGATGCTGACTGGGCGGGATGCTCTTTCACTCGTCGCTCTAGTACATGTTATTTTATTACTATTGGAGCATCACCTATCTCATGGCGGACAAAGAAACAATCTGTCGTTTCTCGTTCCTCCGCAGAAGCTGAATATCGTGCTATGGCAGTCACAGTGAGCGAGATATTATGGTTACGATGGCTACTACAGGAACTCACGGTTCCTCAGAGGGATCCCACACCGCTTTACTGTGACAACCAGGCGGCACGCCATATTGCTCTCAATCCTGTCTTCCATGAACGTACCAAGCATGTCGAAATGGATTGTTATTTTGTACGCGAAAGAGTCACTAGTAATGAAATTCAGCCACAATACATTTCCACATTGAATCAAGTGGCCGACATATTTACCAAACCGCTTGGAGCAGATCGGTTTCATTTCTTACGACGCAAGTTGGGTGTTCGAGATCTTCACACTCCACCTTGAGGGGGAGTATTGAAGTTTATTATAGCTAATATTTACTACTTCCATTATTGAAGTTGACACATGATGTAATATTAATTTATTTGATTGTTCATAGCTCATTACGTAGGAAGGTCCCTTGCATGGGACATGCACACATGCTCTTCTCTCTCCTATTATAGATGGACTCCATATGTATGTATTATATAAGTTGGCCGAACCCGCTGCATATTATTATCAAGGAGAATTCCTCCAGTATAGTTTCTAAGCTTCTTTTGCTTATGAATAATATTCTTCCATCTTAATTTTATCATTTGTTTTGTAGATTAATTTCAATTCTGCCATCAAATGATATACAAACCTGCCATAAAAGATGGCAGATTTATCTTGGAATATTAACACAAAACTTCCATAAATTTGGCAAAAATATAGTCAATAACCAAATATTAAGAAATATATATATAGAATAAGAACTTAATGCAATCTGAAAATAGAAGCACAAAGCTAATAGCAAAAAATAGTAAAACAATCAATGAACACAAAAGGTTTTTTTGCCAAAGTACGAAGCCATCTTCCAAAATTTGGGAAAATCATTTTTTAATGAGAAATAAAAAATCAGAAGTTCAGGACGGCAAAATAGCAGTACGAAAACTAACCAAATCAATGTCAAATCCCTGAGAAATGGAAGAATAGAATAAAAATTAGAAAAATCAATGTAAATTTCAGAAGTTAGAGGAATAAGGGGAGGAGGGGGAAGAAGAAGATCGAAGAAGAAGAGAAGAAGAAGATGATGAGGAAGAAGAAGAAGCAAAGAAGAAGAAACCTGGCAGCGATGTATGGAGAGTAATCGATGACAGAGTCCAAGGAGAACGATTGATCTGGTGAGGAGCAAGGCGGAGAGAGTCCATGGCAGCGGCGATGGTGCGCAGGGAAGTCAGCAGCGGTGGCGTGAATGGAGTAGTAACGCAGGGAGTAAGATGCGATGAATTGATGTGCGCAGGAGGAGCAGATATAAATAGGGGCAAATGGGGAATGCAATTTACGTATGTTTACAAATAGGAGTAAGATACTCCTATTTAGGGGAAAAAACATACACACTCCTATTTAGGAATTTCCCTTATGTTTTACTCCTATATGAGACAATTACACATTACGAAACCTAGCTATTTTCGGTTTCAACAATATGTTACCATTGTCAATTGTTCTTTTTTGATACTGATATTCAACTTTGACAAATGATATTTCTTTAATACGAAATTATTTTGAATATGAAAATTATCTTAAAATGTTTTATAAATCATATGCAAACATAATAACTAAAATTGATTTTTCTTCCAGTATAAAATTTTATATTATAAATTAGTACTCCCTAGTATTCAAGAAAAATCTTTGGGTGTTAATGAGAACCCTTTCTGGATGAGGAAAGGATAGATTCAGGAATTTGAGACGTCCTAGGCTGAATATGAATTATAGTAGGCTCATATATTTGCGGAGTGGGCTGAATGTGAAAAGTGAAAAAAATTACATCAAAAAATTATTGAAAAGTTTCTAAATTGACTTGGACTTCAGCCTACCATCACCCACCCGTACATAGATTCTCCCCTGGGATGAGGGTCGTAGTACGCTTTTGTACCTTAGCTTATACACAAGTATAAGTACATGTATGAAGTATTTACATATGATTGATTGAAAGCGTGAGCTATTTATAAGAATAACCAGGAATTACTTCGAAATAGAATGAATTTCATATTTGGTGACTGGCACCATAAGCAAGAGTTAATTAATTAACTGCTCCCAAATAAAATATATGAACTTCCACAAACACAATCTAGCACTACTCTAGTATCTCTCCGCAACTCACTTTATGGTGTTAATTAATACGGAGTAATACTTATTTGATTGTTTCCTTTATAATGTAAAATAAACATATCCATCGAGAAAAATGTTGAAAAGTTCTGATTTGTTCAAGAATGATATAAACGCAAATATGTATTTAATTTGCTCAAAATATAAACCCTTTGACAATAGTCGTGACTACAGAATTCTCCAAGATATAGATAGTTTATTTACATATAGACACAAATTTGAAAATGGAAGAATTTTGAGAACAAGATATAGTAAGCGGCATGATAAGAACTAATCTCTAATGCTACCATGTGCATGGTGCACATGTGACATGAGAGATAGTCATGTCCTTATTTGAATGTTTTAAACTTTTTATACAATTTTGATAAGTTTTTCTCCACAATATTAAGAAGGTCGTCTAGAAGTTGACATTGTGGTTGACATTGCAGAAATTTTTTT